TCGATGCAGCCAGCATGATAGCACCTCAGGGTGTACAAGCCGTCTATTCTAAAACCCAAGCTTTAAAGTTTCAATAATTAATGGTTAGTTAAGCAGCTATTTTACCTCAAAATATGGTAAGCAAAAAACTTAGATGAAATTATTTGCCTTAAAATCAGTTATGAAAAAATTAATAATCTCGGATAAGAAATATTGGTTCACTTTCACCAGAGTCTTAGGACGGTGGTTTGAGTACATCAACATTTCTCTATAGACGGAAAGGTGACTTCAACCATTATTCAATTGACTGTTTGTTTTCACTGAGTTAGTCTAGATATAAATTCCGTTCAAGCAGAGGCCGTGGATGTCCATCACTCAGTGAATCAGTGACTACGCAGAGAAACCTGTGGTCTGAAAACTGCAAACTGTAAGTGATACAGTCGATCATGGTAGCAGTCTATCAAATCCATCGCGAGCCTGAGACTTTTACCTTCTAAGCTTATAACATAATGATCATCATCACTGTTAAAGCTTCGTATCCAAAAGACCCAAAAAAGAAGCGAGGCTGATTTCACAATTAGTAAAATTGATATGATTGCCAATATTTTTTAAAACAAATGTCTTGTTTCCTCTTCAGGGCCTTACAAAAATTTCTGCCGAAGATATATGTCATAATGTCTTTGGGAATATTGGCTATCACATCAAGTTTCTCCACTGTTAAGTCGACCTTGTATTTTTCTTTCATCTAGTTTAGCCAGTTATTTATAACCTTTTGGCTATTCAACTCGAACTACAGGTCGGTTCCAAACTTTGAGTTTGAGTAAAGGTTGAGAGGCTGTAACAGTCCCTGAAATAGAGTGATTGGGCAGCAATACTAAGCGGAATTCCCAAGTACAGGTTGAAACGTTGAGTGGAGCTGCCACCCTAGCCAAGTATTATCACAACTTGTGAAGTTATAGTATATGAATTTCAAAAAAAGAAATGAACGTCAACTACCTATTTTAAAAACTAGGTATTGGTATTAAGATCTATAAAATCTCCCTATTTAATTATATCATTTGCGGAAATAAATGCGATTAGAATACTAATAAAGTAAAGTCATTATCTACCCAAAAATGCCAATGAGAATAATATTTTTGCGTGACGAACAAAGTTGAGAATACGAACAGAAATTAAAATTTCATATCTATATCTGTAAATGTTAAATAAAGCCAAGAAAAATATGTGGACACTAAATAAATCGTTGTCGTGTCTAACCATATCATAAGTTTTCTTACTCTTTGCGCAGCATTCAAATTAGCATATAGTTAATGCTTAATGTTCTGGGGCCTGATGATTATTCTATAAATGTATTAATAAGTGGCGAAAGTTTTCGGTACTGAATAGTTTCATGAATTTTTTTTACAAGTCGCGGATAGATTCTTAAGAATGAATTTTGTTTTGAATATTTCTTAGGGAAGGACTTCCAAGTCAATCTAAATTCGTTTTTTTAAAAACCGAGTTATTTCATTGAAAGGGGGATGACAATCAGTTGCAATGATGTACAGGGTCTGCAACAGTAATTTAGTGTAGTTTATAATTACGATAATTATGATATCTAACTCATGACACTGTACTGAAATGCAAATCTTAAATTGATTCAGAGAATAAAAGCTGGGAAAAGGAGGACTCATCAGGGATGTGGCAGGAGTTCGTCGAGAACACAACACTACATGGTGTCAGATATGTTTTTAAGAAGCGTCATATTTTAATTAGCTTAATTTGGGTGGTGTTACTGCTTGCTTCTGGAGGATACTACATTTTTACAGTTTACACAGCGTTCAAAAAATATTACAACCGACCAATTAACACTGTAGTAAGCAGAAAACATGTTAAAGAAATGGATTTTCCAGCTGTTACAGTCTGCCCTCTGAACGAGTTTGCTGCAAGTAAGCTGTACATGACAGATGACAACCCATTGTTTGTTTCCAGCGGGTTAAATATTAGCTCATGCGCTGTGACCTCAAAAGTACGAGGTGATCAACCTTGTGGATGGTCGCTACTTTGTGTTTTGCCTGAATATCAAACTTTACGCCCCGCTTTACCAAACTGCACGAGTCAATATAGAGAAGAACTGTTGAATACAATGCAAGAATCTGCTCATTATATCGACAAAGAAAATTTACATCGTTACTACAGTCAAGAGATAGAATCCCTCGTTGGACCCAAGTGCGAGTTTGATGTTGTTGCAAATTGTTCAGCAAAAGATTTTGCTCCCTTGGTAACCCAATGGAGCAAGTGCTACACCTTTAACTCAGGGAAAAATGGCAAAATAAAGAGGGTGAACAGTGCTGGTGTTTCGTTTGGATTTTCTGTCATTCTTGATGCAAAGACAGAAGAATATAGTTATGGGAAGTTTTCAGAAGGATTCAAGGTTATAATTCACAAGCAGGGCGAATTCGTTGATGAATGGGAGGGAATCAACGTAGGTCCAGGACAACATGCTGTTATTGCGCTTTCGGAGAAAAGGGTAACGTTCTTCATTTGTTTGGAGTTGATAATTTGTTTTGGTTGTTTTTCTTTCTTGCATTGTCTAAAAGTATTTCACTCAAGAAAAAAATAACCCATGGCATGCCACAGATCTAAGCCCCTCCTAATAAGTCTCAGCTCTTATGCTTTTTTGAGCTCATCGATGTTAGTTTATGCAATTTTTCTACGAGTTAAAGAACTGAAAGAACAAAAAAATAGCTAGATACGTATTAAATTGACCAGTTAAATGTCTTTAACTTTATTTTTCTCTAATTTTCAAAATAAGTGAAACTGCAATTCTGGTCATAATTTGTTGAAACACTTCCGGAAAACACAAGGTAAACTAAGTGGTTCCACGATGTATTGTTTGTTCCACATGTATTGCTTGCTTTTCCTTCCTCGATGTTGGTTTCAAGGGTTTGCTCGGGCATAAACGTCTGCAAAATCAACATGAAAGGCGTGGAGAAGAAAAAACGGCGAGCGTTTCAACAACTATGACTGGGAATGTGTAATGGATGTCTGACTTGAAAACTCGCCAACAGATTATTGTTATTTTTAGTACAAGAATCTGGAAAAGCCGTATTCTACCAACTGCAGCAAGAGAACTTTGGCAACGTTCCATACTTACACAATAGCGGGCTGTCTTTACGAATGTGAGGCTGAAATGGTCATCAAGGATTGTAATTGCCGGCCCTCTGGCTACAAAGGTAGTAGCAACTAAGACTTAGAGAGCAAAGGTGTTTATTAAGAACACTTTCAATTAAAATAATCGTTTTAAAAGTAGAAGCAATACATTTGGTTGTAATGCCAAAACCGATTATCTTGTTAAGGTTATAAAACAATCAAAACGAGGGGGCGGGCGGGGGCGCAATAAGCAATTCCTGGAACTCCTAGAGGTCTATGTAATTTCAGTTGTTTTATTCTCAAACTTTCAAGGCAATTTGAGAATAAAGGAAAAAGGTGCAATCGAGTGCTTCATATTCCTGGCATATCTGGCTATTGGAAGGAACAGCAAGGGAGAGGGAAGCATGATTTTCCTTTTTCCCTAGAAGTAACCCTACTAATAAATTCATCTTATTTACGGTAATTCTTATTTCAATACTTTGCTCTTAGAAAAGGTCTCTCAGATGCACGCATGCGTAACCGAAGGGGAATTAGTCTGTGTTTCAAATGTTTCAGGTAAGAGATAACTGTGTGGACTACCGTCACACTGTCTTATTTTATTTTATTTTATTTTATTTTTTTCGTCNGGGGGGGGGGGGGGGGGGGCAATAAACTATTTCTGAAACTCCTAGAGGTCTATGTAATTTCAGTTGTTTTATTCTCAAACTTTCAAGGCAATTTGACAATAAAGGAAAAAGGTGCAATCGAGTTCTTCATATTCCTGGCATATCTGGCTATTGGAAGGAACAGCAAGGGAGAGAGAAGCATGATTTTCCTTTTTCCCTTTATCTAGAAGTGACCCTACTAATAAATACATCTTATTTCCGGTAATTCTTATTTCAATACTTTGCTCTTAGAAAAGGTCTCTCAGATGCACGCATGCGTAACGGAAGGGGAATTAGTCTGTGTTTCAAATGTTTCAGGTAAGAGGTAACTGTGTGGACTACTGTCACACTGTCTTATTTTATTTTATTTTATTTTATTTTTTTCGTCTTTAAGTTCTCACATATCGACCCTCTTTTCCTAGTTAAAATAATACTGTATATCTGTGTACTTTAAAAGCTTTTAAGCCAAACATTTCGTTGTCAACTGATCCATTCACTAGTCAGATAGAATTTTCGATATGTTATGTATATCTGCCACAGTATTTGTCACACAGAACAGTTTCATGTGAAGAGTATAAAGGAAAAACGAAGCGTCATTACATTTATCAAGTTTTGTTTTATGACGCTCGAAAAATAAACAACGGATCATCTCATCGTGTATTTCCAGAAGCTTCTGTTATTTCCCAAGGAGATATTGCACGTAGGAGAAGGCGCGGGTGCAGTTGCACTTCTAATGCAACTTTTTTAAGCAAGCGACATACCGTAAGAGATTATATCATTGTTTAGCAGAGAAACGATGCCGTGTAAATTTCTTCAATAGCTTCAGCTGAATATAGAATAAGATATCAGGAAATGTTGACAAAATGAAAAAGAACAATGTCTCGACTATTTTAAGATTTATATGCACATTTATATACACGTAGTTTATCATAATTAAAGCTTTCAATCTAATAATCAGAGCATACTACTATCAGATTACTTAGATATCCAGTCGTGTGAGTGTGAAGTGCCTTGTAATCAGACTAAATATTACACTGAGGTGTCCTATTCAAAGTTTCCCAGTCCTGGCACAGCTAGAGTTCTACAGCTGCGCGGCTACACACGTGACTTACAATACCAAAGGTA